AAAAAAAAAAAACGTTACAATCTGCCGATTTTTGGAGCTAAATTTTTTTGTTTTTATTTTCTATAAAAATACCGTCGAAGCTTTAACAGAAACCATATAAATCACTGTTTCGAACTTTATACAAAACTTAGGAAAAATCCACAAATTTTCATCAAAAATTCAACTTTTTACTCTGAAATCAACAAGATTTTTTATAAAACTGCTTAACCAAAAATGTTCTGAAGATTCAGATTAAAAAGTGGGAATTTTTACGAAAATTCGTGAATTTTGTTTAGAGTTTGAAACTGTGATTGATACGTTTTTGCGTAAAACTAAGAAGATATTTTTATAGAAAAATAACGAAAAAAATGTTGCTCGAAAAATATTACGAATATAAAAAAAAGAAAATCAACATGTGGTCATTTGAGTCGCTTTATGTATGTATATGGTGCAGGAGCATGGACTGGCGTACTTTATTGCGCTTCGTTAAAATCGTTTCGGCGGTTTCGAGCGCCAAACAAGAAGATCGATACAATTTAGTCGAAAAATAATGCCACTCTTTATTCAGTTTTATTTTTTATAGAGAAAAGTCGAGTGAACTGTTAAATAACAACTTCAAATTCAGATTAAAGTGGATATATAACTAAATACTCACTAAAAGTAATAACATCCACTCCAGTTAGAAAAACTCGGCTTCCAAAATAAATGTAGTGGTGCCTATAGAGTGCATAGCGCAAACTAAGCTAAGAAATGCGAGTGCACTTGATATGGAAGAAACAGTTGGAAGAGCTCTTTCAAAAAAAAAAAAGTTTAAAAAGGAAATAAATTTTTATTATATATTTATATAATATTAAAAGCATAAAAAACTTAAGTACATATAAAAAATTAAAGGTAATAGAAAAAAAATTAAAATATGTACAAAAATTAATACGGCTACAAATTTATTTAAAAAAGTATATCATTTAAAAAAAACAAAATAATAAAAAATATTTAAAAAACTAAAAAAAAATCTAAACAAAAAAATAATATTAAAAATAAAAATATTAACAAAAGAAATATAATAATTTGTGTGCATAAAAATGTGAAAAATGTGTAAACCAATATATATACATATATTCATATAAAAATTAAAAAATAAAACCAAAAAAAAATATTTAAAGGTGTAAAAAATTGAATAAAAAAATAATTTTTAATAAAATTAAAATACTTTTTTTTTAATAAAAAAAGCATTAAAAAATTAAGTAAATAAAAAAATGTTTATGAAACATTTAGTAATATGCATACATACATACATGCATATACATACATATAAAAAATATAACAAATTAAAAAAGTTGTATGTATATTTAAACAAACTTAGAACAAATATTTAATAAACTTAAAAAAAATATAAAAAATAAATAAAATTAAAAACAAAAAAGTAAACAAAGGAAATAAAATAATTTTTGAGCATAATAGTTTGAAAAATATGTAAAGCAATACAAATATATATGAAAATTAAAAAGTCAAACAAAAAAATATTTACAAATTAAAAAAATAGAATTTAAAAAAGTTCAAAATAAATTTAAAACATCTTCTTTTTTTTATAAAAAAGCATTAAAACATTAAGTAAATAAAAAAATATTTATGAAACATTTAGAAATATACATACATATAAAAAATATTAAAAATTAAAAAAGTTGTATGTACATAAATGAAAAACATTTAAAAATTAAAAAAAAATTAAGACACTACAAAAACTAAAAAAAAAAAAATTCCAGTGCACCAGACAACCCCAACGTAACTCGAACGAACCGCCAATGAGTGCATTCACTTCGGAATGAAGCGCATTCACCAACAGCGAGCCATGAGCAATGAACGAAATTTGATCTTGAGAAATGGGGCAACGTACACACCATACCAAACGTCAACACCGACAACAACAACAATAAACAGCAGCAATATTTGCAACCATAAGACGAAAGGCAAATAGGCAGACGGACGAATCGGTGGTAAGCAGAAATGTACCGCCAAAGAAAGCGCTTAACATCGTAGAGAAGGGAGAACTTGAGGAGCGCTGGAAAAGCGCACAAATAAAAGTAACCGCGAGCGTTGCGAAATCGTCATAAATAATAGACAAATGTGCCAAAGCGGACGCAAGGACAACCAAAAAAAAAAAGCAGATGGTAAAAAGGATATGAAATAACTTAGCTTGCGTGAGAAAGGATAACTAAAAACTAATATGCCAGAATATAGAAGAAAATTTTAAAGAGTGAAATATTTTGTAAAAAAAAAAAAAAAAAATATTACGACAAATACTTAATTAGAAGAGTGCG